TTGAGCCACAGCACCACTTCTGTCTTTTTTCTTTTTTCTTTTTGCTTATGTGGTGCTGAGGAATCGAACCCAGGGCCTCAGGCATACAAGGCAAGTGCTCTACCACTGAGCCACCTTCCCAGCTCTAAATCTGTTTCTTCTATAGACTTGTGGGAGTAGTCTCAGTGAAAACAGATGAGTTTGGAGAGAGAGAGAGTGTTTCACATGTCTATTACTTGGGATCAGATGCACTGACAAAGCTAGGCTAAAATACTTTCCTGCCTGTTAATCAGGGTCACACAGAGAAAGCTCAAGGAAGGATGACCCTACCTCAGGAACTTTGGAGTCTGTTACCGTTTATAACCAGAAGGCAGCAGAATTCAAGAGCAAGTCTTTGCTACATTGGTGGGGAAAGTGTTCTGCGAGATTTATCTTTGGGGAAACAAGATTGTGTGCCTGGCTGAGTGAGGTGTTTGGGAGTGGAAGGCCAATCTCTGGTTTTGCTGATCTGGGATAAGGGTGTGGTCAGGATGGGAAGGTCCAAGGCACAATAGCTACTACAGTGCTGGACCCTGAGTGCCTGTTGTCCACACTGCTACCTTGAGCCACCTGTACATTTTTACACATGCACTGATTTAGGGAGGATTGAGCAACGTTTTAGTGATGCTTAAATCAGAATATTATACAAACTGTGTTAAGCTGGGCAAGTGGCTCACGCCCTTAATCCTAGCTACTCAGGAGGCTGAGATTTGAGGATTGCAGTTCAAAGCCAGCCAAGGTTGTAAAGTTCATGGGACTTTTATCTCCAGTTAACCACCAGAAAACCAGAAGTGGTGCTGGGACTCAAAGTGGTAGAGTGCTAGCCTTGAGTGAAAAAGCTGAGGGACAGCACCCAAGCCCTGAGTTCAACTCCCCAAAACAAAAGACAGCAACAACAACAACAAAAACCTGGGTTAACCTTGTTGTTTCATTTTTACAAGGTTGTCAAGGTAGGCTTATAGCCCTTTTCAACAAGGATCAATGACTGCAATAGTTCTTTAAGAAAAGACGTGTCCACGTTGGATGTGAAAGGACGCTTCCGAAACGGTGTGCACTCTGTGGAGTGAAGAATACAATGTTTCTTACTTCCCTGGCAATGGTGTAAGTCCAGTTCTTGCCATGCACCCAACCGGGAATATGGATGCTGGCTTTTCTCGTTCTGCAGTTCAGACACTGTCACGAAGTCACTGCAGAAACATCAAGCAAAAAATCTCTCAGTGGGAAGGAAGGACTAATGGCAACTCTAGCCCAGCCAAGTGGCGTCCCAAGGACTTTGGAGTGAGGTATGGCCACTGTCGCCAAGTTCTTCCTAAGGAAAATCTTCTGGGTGAGGGGAGGAGCAAAAGGTTGGATGTTACCAACTCCCCAAGCACGGGCTTCCATGTGAAAGATGCCAGAAGCCGCGATCAAAGTGAAGATGAAAGTGAGAAAGCTGACTATGGAGACAGGCACCCTTGGAAGAATGAGGAAGACCCCAGTGGAGTCTTCTCTCGGGTCACACAGATTGAGAGCTGGAAAGCAGTTGTTTTGGATCCAGGGACTTCATTACCTCCAGGAAACTTGTATACCTCACAGATACTGTGGAAAAAACCAGAAGCACTTCCCCCAGATAAAGTCTTCAGTATGGCTTTACAACACTGTGACTCTTCAGCCAAAGAACTGAATCTCAGAATTCTTGATAGTTCTTATGGAATAACCAAGAGCTTGGAAAATATTTATTGTGAACCTGAGGGGCAAGAGTGCGGCCCTTCTATAAACCCTTTGCCAAAGCCACGCAGGACCTTCCGCTATTTATCCGAGTCTGGGGTTCTACCATGTAAAGAAAGAAACTGTGACAGAAAGTACTGTGAAGATCATTCATGTGCAGAGGCTTCTCTGGCCTCTTCTCAGGAACCTGAACCAAAGAAATATGGTGGAAAAATAAGAGGACGATCAAAAAGGTAGGCCTTTATTCAGCAGATAATTTGGAGTTTGTTTCCCCTTTCAGACAACTTATTTCCCAGCTTATATAATGGAACTTAATATAGATGTTGATTAATGTGGAGAGAAAATAAGAGGAAAATGTAGAAGGCTAGAAAATTTCTGACAATTTTTTGACATAAAAGTATCAGAAAACTTTCTGACTTGAATTTTTAAAATTTATTTGTTTATTTAGTGTGTTAGTCGTGGGGCTTGAACTCAGGGCCTGGTACTGTCCCTGACCTTTTTGCTGAAGGCTAGCACTCTAGTAGAGGAGAGCCACAGCTCTACTTCTGGCTTTGTGGTGGTTAATTAACAGATTTTCCTGCCCCAGCTGGCTTTGAATCATGAGCTTCCAGTCTCTGCCTCCAGGAGCAGCTAGAATTACAGGCGTGAGCCACTAGTGCCTGCCTGGTTTATTTTTTTATGTAATTTAAAAAATATTTATTGTTGGGAGAAGGGTTGGGATTGGGGGGGAGGGGGGAGGCTGGGAAGGGATGTGAAGGGTAAACCAAAGGAGGAGGCTGCAATGCTTGGTAATAAATGTACGCATTATCCTGCCCATGTAATTGTAACCCCTCTGTACAGTATGTTCACAAATAAAAAATAAATAAATAAATTAAAAAAATATTTATTGTTGGGCTGGGAAGGTGGCTCAGTGGTAGAGCACTTGCCTTGCATGCTCGAGGCCCTGGGTTCGATTCCTCAGCACCACATAAGCAAAAAGAAAAAAGCTGGAAGTGGCGCTGTGGCTCAAGTGGTAGAGCCCTAGCCTTGAGCTGAAGAGCTGAGGGACAGCGCCCAGGCCCAGAGTTCAAGCCCCACGACTGCACCAAAAAAAAAAAAATTATTGTTATTCCTAAGGTGTTATACAGAGGGTTTTTGTTTTATAAGGCAGGTAATGAGCACACTTCTTTTGGGACAGTGTCACCCTTCTCTTTCCCCCAGCTTACCTATCCATCCCTACCCACAAGTTAGTCACATGATTTTTAAAAATTATAAACTGGTCACTAGTGGCTCACGTGTGTAACCCTAGCTACTCTGGAGGCTGAGATTGAGGGCCGTGGTTCAAAACCAGCCCTGACAGAAAGGTTTGTGAGACTCTTATCTCCAATTAACTGCCAGAAAGCTGAAAGTGGCGCTGTGGCTCAAAGTGGTAGAACACTAGCCTTGAGCAAAAGAGCTCAGACCCTGATCGACAGTAATAAATAAAAAATAAATAAATAAATAAAATCTTTAAGTAGTTGTACAAAGGGGGTTCTATTCAGCGTGGCAGTTTATGAATACAATGTCTTTTTTAAACATTTATTATTATTATTAAGTATAAAGAAGTTTCGATTCTAAAAAACAGTATATGAATACAAGGTGTCTGACAACATTGTCACCCATCTCTCCTAACCCACCCCTTCTCTCACTTTTCTTTTTTTTTTAAATTAAGATTAGGTGATTACATAAATTTCACATATTTCCCAGTATTGTGGAATAGTGATATTTAGTTAAAATCACAAACACATTTTAACCTCAAAGCAAATTGTCATTATTATGGTCTATAAAGTTAACACAGTACATCTTGATCAATGTCACCCATTTTCCCATGATTCAAATTAAGTTTTAGGAGCAGAGTTAAGACCTGAATATCAGGTTTGAAGGCAGCCAGGCAAGATAAATCTGTGAAACTCTATCTCCAATTAACCAGCAAAAAGCCAGAAGTGGGGCTGTAGTTAATTGGTAGAGCACCAACCTTTAGCAAAAAAGCCAAAGCAGAGGTCAAAGCCTAGAGTTGAAGCCCCAGTACCAGCACATATAAAGAAGTCGTAGGGAACGGAATACACCCTTCAACTTAATTCTGAGCATCCTCTCCTTAGCCCCACTTTTAGTTAGGCCTAAAGAAAAGCGTGAAAGTAATTAGTTAAAGTCCTCATTTTCTCACATGAATGTAGAGAGCACCAACTGAGTTTATTACTAGATTTCTGATAAAAAACAGCTTTATAATTTTGAAAAAACTTTTTCTAACAATCAATATTTATCTACTCATACCAAATTTAAAGTTTTTAAAGATGTAGCTTGAAATATCTTTTTTTCCTTAAGGAAATCCTTTGAATTTGAGGATATTCAGCACTTTCGAAACCGGAACTCACCCAAGATTCATGAAGAACTTGGAAGAAATTCTGGTTCAGCACTTTATTTCACACAGTCCGAGGATAATATCTACGAAGATATCATATGTAGGTGTCTACAGCATTGCAATTAAGTTTAATGAATATGTATTTGGTGATGCCCTTAATTGTAGGAAGGTATTTTCTCTTACAATCAAACATACTTCATTTGCCTTTGTAATGTGGGAATCTTTGATGTATACATACTGTGTGAGTGTGTGTGTGTGTCTTGTGTCTTTGTGTCTTTGTGTGCCAGTACTGCTTAAACTCAGGGCCTGGACACTGTCCCTTCCTTAGGTTTTTCACTTAAGGCTGGCACAATGCCCTTTGAGCCATATTTCTTATGTTCAGCTTTCTGGTGGTTAATTGGAGATAAGAGTCTCATGGTCTTTCTTTCCCTGGCTTTGAACTTTGATCCTCAGATCTTAGCCTCCTTAGTAGCTAATATTACAGGCGTGAGCCACCAGCCTTGCTTATAAATTCTCTTACTCTGTAATGAGTCTTACACTGATGTCATGGATGCTCAGTTGAGAAGTAAATCTTTTTTCAATATGATATTTGAAAATTCTTTTTAGCTTGGACACCTAAGTGATTTTTTTTTCTTTTGCCAGTCCTGAGGCTTTTTTTTTTTTTTGGGGTCCAGTCATGGGGCCTGAACTCTGGGCCTGGGCGCTGTCCCTCAGCTCTTCAGCTCAAGGCTAGCGCTCTACCACTTGAGCCACAGCGCTACTTCCGGCTTTTGTCTTTTTGCTTATGTGGTGCTGGGGAATCGAACCCAGGGCCTTATGCATGCAAGGCAAGTGCTCTACCACTGAGCCACCTTCCCAGCCCCTGAGGCTTTAACTCATGGCCTGAGTGTTATCCCTGAGCTTCTTTCTGCTCAAGGCTTGCACTCTACCACTTGAGCCACAACTTCACTTCTAGCTTTTTCTGTGATTAATTGGAGATAAGAGTCTCACAGACTTTATTGCCAGTGCTGGCTTTGAACTGATCCTCAGATCTCAGCCTCCTGAGTAGCTAGGATTACAGGCGTGAGCCACAGGTGCCCAGCTTAAGTGCTGTTGATTGGAGACCTTTATTCTTTACATCAGTTGAGAAGAGGAAAACCAAATGTAGTCATATTTTATTTCTTCTTCTAGTTGTAGTCACTTTTCCTTCCACTTAATTATGTTTTTCTAAAATAAGTCTCTATATTTTTTAAAGATCCCAGCAAAGAAAATCCATACGAAGATATCCCAGTGCAGCCTTTACCCATGTGGCGGTCCCCTTCTGCCTGGAGACTTCCACCTGCTAAAAGTGCTTTCAAAGCACCTAAGGTATAACCGGGGGAGTAACTGAAGGAAACATCAGAATCTTGTTTATAACATGTATAGAAGGATGAAGATGGTTTAACTGGGGTCAGAAGTAAGGGGTTGCACCTTTATTGTGTGAAGTTTTTTGTTTGTTTGTTTTGATGACAGAACCTAGGATCTCAGTGTTCCTTGAGCTTTTTCACTCAAGGATGGTGCTTTATCACTTATCACTTGAGCTATACCTCTACTTCTGGCCTTTTACTTGCTAATTAGAGGTAAGGGCTCTTAGATTTGTTTGCCTGAGTTAGCTTCAAACCATGATCTTCAGATCTCAGCTTTCTAAGGAGCTAGGATTACAGACATGAGCCACCAGAACCTGGTAGCACATATTTCTTTATTTTTTTCTGTTATTTCTTTATTTTCAAATTTTACCATTTCAGAAAGGATTGAGTATGAGTCCCTTTTTACAGACCTTCTCAGTTCACTGCAGTTCCCACCTGTCGGCCCATGGCCTACATTACCTGCCTTAGCCCTGAAAGCATTGGCCCCCTGGCCTGAGTGAGAAGAGTAGAAGCTGTTGTTGCCAGGGAGTCTTGATGATAGAGAAGCTGCTCTATCAGGGATGAGGAAGAAGTTATGGTATCCTCCTTTGAGATCTCTTCTAGGATAATTGACTTTGTATGAAACTTGGATGATCTTACTTTACCAGAGTATCCGTCTCCTGTTTCAGCTTCCTCCCAAGCCTCTGTTCCCTCACCGGAAGACGATGGATCTGAAGAACTCCCAAGCTTGGTTACAGCCAAAGCTGACTAAGGATACCACTTTGCCAGTCACTTTAACTGAATGGAAACTTTTCCGAGCTGGGGAAGTTGCAAACGGAAAAAAGAGAAATCTTCCAAGGGTAAGGGTTTCATGACTTACATTCTTCCAATCTTACGTCAGCATTTCCATAAATGAGAATAAATAAGCATGTTGGTTAGCAGGCAATGGTGGCTCATGTCTGTAACCCTGGCTACTCATAAGGCTGAGATCTGAGGTTCACAATTCGAAGCCAGCCCAGGCAGCAAAGTCTGTGAGACTCTTATCTCCAATAAACTACCCAGAAAAAGCTGGAAGTGGAGCTGTTTGGCTGAAGTGGTAGAGCACTAGCCTTGAGCTGAAGAGCTGTGGGACAGTTCCCAGGCCCAGAGTTCAAGCCCCATGATGACAAAAAACAAAAACAAAAAAACAGGCTCACAGCGCCCTGAGTTCAAGCCTCAGGAGTGGCACGCGGGCACAGACACCCACACACACCCACAACCACACGCATGCACACACACACACGCACACACACTTCGGCTGGCTGGTGATGAAGCCATGATGGTCAACAGGCTGTTAGTCTTTGCCTGTGCCCTGCTTAAATTAAGTCCTTTTAGGATATGCCACATGCAATGTAGACTTTCATTTGGAATATCTTCTGGGGCATTCCATAAGAAAGCGGTTTTCATTTACTTTCCCTGTGGAGGGCCCCAGCTGTGCTTGGAAGAAATGTTGTTTTCCTAGCTTAGAACCACTGATCTTGTCCATATGCTCTTCCTTACCCTTCCTTCCTTTCCTACTGTGCAAGCCTGTGTGGGGTAATTTGCTAGTGAACATTCTCTAATAGGTTTTATATTGTTGTGTCAATTGGGCAGAACAGCCTGGCTTCTCTCATTGCCTAGAAAGGATATTCTACAGTGTTTGCTGTCTTAAGAGATTAGTGTACACTCTCCTTAGCTCATTACCAAAATGTGTTTTGTCTCATTGCTAGCACAGTAGTTCCTTTCCTGAGTCTTTGAGCAGCTTTTTTTTTTTTTTGCCGGTTATGGGGGCTGCACTCTGGGCCTGGGCTCTTTCCCTCAGCTCTTCAGCTCAAGGCTAGCACTCTACCACTTGAGCCACAGCTCCACTTCTGGCTTTTTCTGCTTATGTGGTGCTGAGGAATCGAACCCAGGGCTTCATGCATGCAAGGCAAGCACTCTACCACTGAGCCATCTTCCCAGCCCTGAGCAGCTTTTTGATTGTACCTTTCAGATGCATATTAATGATTTTACTATTTTGGGTCATTTTGTTTTCAAAACACGCTTATTCCCATATACCTTTTCTGTAGCCCATAACCACACACTTTTATTTGGGACTCTCCTCTTGGTTGTTGTAGTGGTAAAAGAACACTGGCAGTTTTTCACAGTGGCAGGTGCAGAAAACTTTTGAAAGACAAACATCCAGAAATGTGGGAATAATCTGCATATTGGAAGCATATGTTTCTTGCATGTGTTTTCTTGTACTGGATAGATTCATGGTCCATTGGCTACCCGGATTACTAAATAACTAAGGACACAGGAAAAAATACAAATTTCTTGCAAGCAACTTGGTTGACTATTAACTTATATAATCTTTTTTTTTTCTTGTCAGTCATGGGCTTAAACTCAGGGCCTACACGTTCTTTCTGAGCTCTTTTGCTCAAGGTTGGCACTCACCACTTTGAGCCAGAGCTCCACTTCCAGATTTTTTTAGAGGTTAATTGGAGATAACAGTCTCACGGTCTTTCTTGCCCAGGCTGGCTTTGAACCACGATCTTCAGATCTCAGCCTCCTGAGTAGTTAGGATTACAGTTGTGAGCCACTTGTACTTGGCTTATATATTGTTCTTAACAAGTACAGTTCTAGGCATTGTGTTAAATCAAAACTAATACTTAAGAATAGCTTAGAATGTTAAGAAAAAATACTAGTATACATGGGAAAAAGTTGAATCCGTGTTTTTAAAGTGTCTGTTATTAACCTCTAATTCTTCTTTCTTGTCTCTCTGAATGGCTCTCTCTGTCACATTAACCCTACCTACAAAGAAAGAATTCTGAGTAATTCACATAAAGTAGAATGTTATATAACAGTTTCAAAGTAAGTGTTCTGATTTCTAAAATAGGTTGTATTGTTAATACTCCTAGTAGCAAAGAGTAGATTCTCTTTCATAAAAATGTTCTGAATGGGGCTGGGAGGTTGGCTCAATGGTAGAATGCTTGCCTTGCATGCATGAGGTCCTGGGTTCGATTCCTCAGCACCACATAAGCAGAAAAAGCCAGAAGTGGTGCTGTGACTCAAGAGGTTGAGCACTAGCCTTGAGCTAAGAGGGACAGTGCCCAGGCCCAGAGTTCAGGCCCCACAACCAACCAACCAAAAAAAAAATGTTCTGATTGTGATTATCCTCTCTTTGAGAGCAATTTCTAGGAGCACAAGTAGCCGAGCCTTGCCCTGCCTTCCCAGTGAGTAAGTCTTCCCTTCCGGCTCTGGGCTAGTGAAAGCTTGCCTCCGCTGGAGGTTTCACCACCTGGGAGTGCAGTGGCCACGTGGCCTGCATGTTGAGACGTGGTCCCTGACTCACTGGGCTCCACTCACCTGGAAGAAGGTATCCTTTCCACTCCCACCTGTGAGAGAAGCACAGGGGACCCACCCTTTAGATTCCGAATTGGAAAGTATGCAGGGTCTTATTTATGAAATGCATCTTTTCTATAAATGAGACACAGTGTCAGCAAGCCATGAGCCTTGTGGATTTGTTATGACATACTTTTCTGGTCTTTTTTTCTCTTTTTAGCTTGTAATGAAAATAGATGACATATTTGAGTCTAAGAGAGGGAAGAAGAGGATAAAGTTACACCCTTACACTGGAAAGGAAGTACCTCCTTCAAAAGGTAAAAGTTTGTTCATTCCTGTTGTCTGTAGTTGTTAGCCTATGAAGGGAGAATGATATAACTTAATGATATAACTTTGGTAGGTATGATAATTTTTGGTTTACTATCCTGTCTATGCAAATTAAATATAACCTTTGTTAGGATGAGAAACCATTTTCTTCACATCCTTTTCATATCACTGTACCAAGTAATAAGTATTAGGTAAATAAATTAAAAAATCATTATAAACCAATAAGACTAATTTTCCATGTAGTTTGAATCATTATTTTGTATTACTACTGTGACTTCAAATCATTTATTAGTATTAGCCTTTTTTTTTGGTGTTGTTGGTCGTGGGGCTTGAACTCTGGATTTGGGCGCTGTCCCTGTGCTCTTCAGTTCAAGGCAAGCGCTCTGCCACTTGAGCCACAGTGCCACTTCCGGTTTTCAGTGGTTTATTGGAGATAAGAGTCTCACAGACTTTCCTGCCCGGGCTGGCTTTGAGCCGTGATCCTCAGATCTCAGCCTCCTGTGTAGCTAGGATTACAGGTGTGAGCCACCAGCACCTGGCAGTATTAGCCTTTTGTATTTGTGTTGGCTTCAACTCAGACCCTCTTGTTCTCACTTGGCCTTTTCACTCAATTCTGGTACTCTACCACTTGAGACATGCCTCCACTTCCAATTTTTTGTTGCTTAACTGAAGATGAATTTTTGTATTTTGTTTTACCTTGGCTGGCTTCAAAGTGTGATCCTCAGATCTCACACTCCTAAATAAAGCTATGGTTATAGGTGTGAGATACCAGCGCCTGGTGGTAGAGGCCCTTATAGGCCCACATAGACAGAAAAAGCCAGAAGTGGCATAGTGGCTCAAGTGGTAGAGTGCTTGCCTGGCATGTATGAAGCCCTGGGTTTGGTTCCTCAGTACCACATAGATAGACAGAAAAAGCTGGAAGAGGTGCTATGACTCAAGTGGTAGAGTTCTAGCCTTGAGCAAAAGAAGCTTAGGGACAGTGCCCAGGCCCTGAGTTCAAGCTCCATGACTGGCAAAAGAAAGGAAGGAAGGGAGGGAAAAAAGGAAGTAAAGAAGATAAAACTACCAAACACAAAACAAAACAGATTCTTTTTTTTTTTTTGGGTCCGGTCGTGGGGCCTGAACTCTGGGCCTGGGCACTGTCCCAACACCACTTCCAGCTTTTTTCTTTTTGCTTATGTGGTGCTAAGGAATCGAACCCAGGGCCTCAGGCATGCAAGGCAAGCACTCTACCACTGAGCCACCTTCCCAGCCCCATGAAAACAGCTTCTTGACATGGTTGTATACAAAAAAAAAAGGTATAGAACTTAGGATCTCTAAGTAAGAAAGAATAGCCAAGTCATATTAGAGGAAAATGTTTCTTTTCATTTTTTTTCTTTTTTTTGCCAGTCCTGGGGCTTGAACTCGGCCTGGGCAATTTCCTTGAGCTCATTCACTCAAGGCTAGCACTCTACAATGCCGAGCTACTTCTGATTTTTTGGTGATTAATTGGAAGTAAGTTTCAGTTGGACTTTTGCTGCCTGGGCCAGCTTTGAACTGCCATCATCAGATCTCAGCATCCTGAGTAGCTAGGATTATAAGCGTGAGCCACCAGTACCCAGCAGGAGAATATCTTATTTTATTGTAGACTTCCAAGGAAAATTTTCTTAATTTCCCTTAAAAAATTCATTCTATGGTCTAACAATTTATCCATCTGAAAATAAAATCCTCAGTTGTTACAGATTAAAATTCTATTCTTATTCTGTAAGGACTGGATTTGATCTCCAACCCTTCAAAAAAGCTAGCCTCAGCCAGGTCCCACTGGCTCACGCCTGTAACCTTAGCTACTCAGGAGGCTGAGATCTGAGGATCATGGTTCAAAGCCAGATTGAGCAGGAAAATCTATGAGACTCTTACCTCTAATTAACCACCAAAAAGCCGGAAGTGGAGCTGTGGCTCAGGTGGCAGAGTGCTATCCTTGAGCGAAAAAACTAAGAGACAATGCCCAGGCCTTGAGTTAAACCCCAATACTGGCACAGACAGACAAAATTCTTTACTAGCCCAAATTGTCAACTTCTACCACCAGAAGAGGAAAAAATATACACAAAGAAGAGTAATCCCTACTTTGTAATCTTCCAAATGAGCATTTAGCCAGCTTTTTCAGGCTACCCCTCTAGGCCTGGAGGGGCTTTTCTCATGCCAGAGAGCATGTCCTGCTCTGTCATCACAGTTAGGTTTGCATTGGAGTCCTGAAGTTTTTGTCTGTATGTCAACAGAGCCTAATCGATAATTGCAGATGCCAGGCTGTTGGTACTTGCTAGGCTTTACTGAATATATTCCACCCTAAACATTTCGTAACTTTCAGTTTTCAAGTGTTAAGAGAACAATTTACTGCCTTTCAGTTTTGTCATTATAATTTTGTGGCTGAAAACATGAGTGCAAAAAAAAAAACAATAGAAAAGAACCTAGTACTTTGTTGTTGGTGGTCATGGGGCTTGAACTCAGGGCCTGGGGATGATCCCTGAGCTTTTTTTGCACAAAGCTTGCCACTTTGAGCCACAGCTCCACTTTCAGTTTTTAGGTGGTTAATGGGAGATAAAAGTCCCAGAGATTTTCCTGCTTGGGCTGGTTTTGAACTTAGATTTTTAGATCTCAGCTTTCTGTGTAGCTAAGGATTATAGGTGTGAGTCATCAATGCGCAGTTACCTAGTACTTGTGTGCATGTGTGTGCATGCGCGCGCGCGCGCGCGCGTGTGTGTGTGTGTGTGTGTGTGTGTGGTGTGTGAGACAGTCCTGGAGATTGAACTCAAGGCCTCGTGCTTCAGCTTGTCCTTTTTGCTAATGGCTGGTACTTTAGCACCTGGTTCATACCTTCATTTTCAGCTTTTTGCTGCTTAATTGAAGGTAAGAGTCTTAGATTTGACTACCTGGGCTGGCTTTGAACCTGTATCCTCAAGTCTCAGCCTCGTTAGTTGCTAGGGTTACAGGTACAACCCATTGGTTTCCCACACATAATCTTCTAGTATATTGTAATAATTTTTCCATTTGAGTATTATTAATTTTTACTGACTGTGACGTGTGAATTAACACCTTCTGTGGCATATATGTGTTGAGAAAGAACATAATGTATGAGGATTCAGAGTTCCAGGCATCCACAGCTAGGGTCAGCCACAGAAAAGGGGGGGGGTCTACTGTGTTCTCCTGTATTTCCTTTTTTAAATTGTCTTTAAGTAGTTGTACAACAGGATTTCTGTTCAACATTTTGTTTTCTGAGTTCAATGCATCTTGGTCAATGTTAGCCCTCAGTATTTGATTTTAATGGCTGGCCTAAGTGACTTGGAGAAGGGCTTGGCGTCCTTATTGTTTCTTACTAGGCCCCAGGTCTTAGAGGTTTTGCACTGTTCTCATCCTCACAGACTTCCTACTGTTGGCCAATACAAATGGAAACTTCCTCTCTTTGCAGGTGAAACCAGCGGGAACGAAAGCGATGGCGAGTACCTGCCAAAGAGTGAGTGAGTCAGCGGGCGCGCCTGCCCAGCGCCCGCCGTGGGTGGAGGGACACCTGCCTTTGTGATTAAGCACGCTTTTCCCCACATTAAGTTTCATTTTGTAGGGCATTTCTTCATTTTTAGAACCTGCTGAGATTAAGGGAACAGAATACTATACGGTCAGATGTTTGATTGTATGCAAAGGCTCCAGGCAGTGGAGTGAAGCTAGCCATTACAGTCCATCCATGGTCTGGAATGTTCTTGGGCAGCTGCACAATGCTGCATGCCCAGACACATTTGCCGTAGTTTCATGGCAGCCAAAACAGTTGTGAATCACCTGCTGAGATAGTGCTTAGCCTTAAATATCTGATTTTTTCATAGTAGCTCAAGCATTATTGTTAAATTATTTTGATATCTCTGGCAGTGCAAAAGGAAATATTTCTTGATTTTGGCTCAGATGTACTAGTACTCCAAAGTGCATAGAGCTTTTCTGGTTCTATTTGTCCAAGCACACTTCAGCACTCTATAGTTGCATCTGAAGAATTGTCACGGCAAGCTATGTGCTTCATGCTTAACTCCCTAACACGCTGAGGTATGAGAAAGTAGAAGGGAATTATCTGAGTTGGACACTAATCTTATGATTAATAGTCTTGTGCTCCTTCCACTGACCTGGATTGCTTCAGACTTGGGACTCTATGGCGGGACTGAAGGTGGAATGAAAGCATCATTAGGCTCAGCTGTGATGTGTAATGCTGACTAGCTCAGTGATATTTATTGCTAGTGAGAAATAGAACCTGGAGTTGTCGTCACTTTTGCTAAAGCACTATATATATTGGATAATTCTAGGGAACTGTTCATTGTGTGTGTGTGTGTGTGTGTGTGTGTGTGTGTGTGTGTAACAGGGCTTGAACTCAGGACCTTGCACTCTAGCTCAGCTTTTTCACTCAGGGCTGGTGCTCTACCACTTGAGACACATCAGCATTTCTGGCTTTTTTTGCTGTCTAATTGGAGATAAGAGCCTCTTGGATTAGTCTGCCCAGCCTGACTTCAAACCATGATCCTTAGATCTCAGCTTCCTGAGTAGCTAGGATTGCAGGGTGAGTTACCAGCATTGGACCCTAGTTGTATTTTTTTGAGAGTTCTTAACATTTTGATCCTTAGTGTGACTTTTTGGATTGAATACATGATATCACAAAAAGAAAAGAACAGTCAGAGAATGAGTCACCACCAGTCAGTAGCTCAGGATGAAACATAAGCAAATCTCAGAAACACTTAGACTATTTCTTCTGTTGCTAAACATTTCTTCTAGTAAAGACTATTAGAAGAGAAAGTAGATGTGTTAACAATAGTATTGTTTAAATATTGTGTTTTCTGCTGGGCAAAGTGGTCCCCTACCTGTAATCCTTGTTTTGGAATTCAGAGACAGGAGGATCACAAGTTTGAGGTCAGCTTGGGCTCTCCAGTGAGATCGAAATCAATCAAATGCCTCTTGAATTTCATTCTTTTGAGTAGGAGGCTTGAACTCAGGGCCTGGGTGCTGTCCCTGAGCTTTCTCGCTCAAAGCTAGCATTCTACCACTTGGAGCCACAGTGCCACTTCTGGCTTTCTGGTGGTTAATTGGAGATTAATTGGTGGTTAATTGGAGTCTCAGGGACTTTCCTGTCTGAGCTGCCTTTGAACCTTGATCCTCAGATCTCAGCTTCCTGAGTAGCTAGAATTACAGGCATGACCTACCAGCATCCAGCCTTTTCCCTTCTTTTCTTCTTCTTCCCCTTCTTCTTCTTCCCCTTCTTCTTCTTCTTCCCCTTCTTCTTCTTCCCCTTCTTCCTCTTCTTCTTCTCCTTCTCCTTCTCCTCCTCCTCCTTCTCCTTCTCCTTCTCTTTCCTCCTCCCCCTCCTCCTCTTCTTCCTCCTCCTGCTCTTCCTCCTCCTCCTCCTTTCCTTCCACCCCATTCCTTCTCTCTTGGAATCAAACCCAGGACTTTGAATATGCTAAACAAGCACTCAAGCACTCACTCCCTGCCTTTTCCTCTTGAATTTGGCACCATTTATGATATAAGCATATATCTATCATTAGTAATACATGCCAGGAAGAGGGAGGACACTGCAAGCTAACTATGGGTCTCATTTGATGAGGCTTGTCTCTGTCTGTCCTTAGGCTTTTAGTGCTATCCTCTTCCTTCTGGTCTCTCCACGCTTCCATCACTAGCATCTCTTCTCAATTGTTTTTTTTTTTTTCCAAATGTTTTACATATGGCCTGGTATGCTGCCACGAAAGAAGGGTGGCATAGAATCCACATTGGTATAGACACGTAATGGTCAGGACATTAACGTGTGTCCGGCCCCTGGCCGTAGGTAGAGCTACACTGGAAGGTGCATGAGGAGGTCTTGGCCATTTCCATTGAGTCAGCATTGATAGTGAGGATGGGTATTTGGTGAGAGGTGACCTTGGGGGGCTAAAAGGAGCAGAGAGTGCTATAGGGCAGACTGCTGCTATGGTTTTACCACAGATCGCCAGAGGCGCGTGACACAGCTGCAGCACTCTACCAAGAGGAACCCTCACTACCAGACCTTGGAGCGGGACCTGATCGAACTGCAGGAGCAGCAGCTGTTTGAGCTGTTTGTGGTGGTGTCTCTGCACCAGAAGCCCTCAGGGGCCAGCTATGTGCCCCAGGTCATCCAGCAGTTCCCCAACAAGGTAGGCTCCTGGAGGCTCAGAAGTACTGGAAGGTTCCTGTGCTGCACATGTACTTTCCTCTTCAGTGTGGTCACCATCTCAGCTAGCTCTCACCAATAATGGCGCTTGCTGTGGATTTGGTGAATGTCCTTGAGGACTCTCAGGTAGCCTGAGCCAGAGGGAAATAAGCCACAGGGAGACAAACTCATTTGGCAAGGCAGGCTTTTATTTTATTTTGTTTTATATTTTTATTTTTTTGCACCAGTCCTGGACCTTCAACTCAGGGCCTGAGCACTGTCCCTGAGTTTTGTTTTTGTTTTTTGTCAGTCATGGGTCTTGAACTCTGGGTCTGGGCACTGTCCCTGAGCTCTTCAGCTCAAGGCAAGCACTCTACCAGTTGAGTCACAGTACCATTTCCAGTTTTCTGGTGGTTTAGTGGAGATAGGAGTCTCATGGCCTTTCTTGCCTGGTCTGGCTTTGAACCGTGATACTCAGATCTCAGTCTTCTGAGTAGCTAGGATTACAGGCGTGAACCACCGGTACCCAGCATTCCCTGAGCTTCTTTTGCTCAAAGCTAGCATTCTACCACTTGAGCCACAGAGCTACTTCTGGTTTTTTCTATTTATGTGGCACTGAGGAATTAAACCCAGGCTTCATGCATGCTAGGCAAGCACTCTGCCACTAAACTACCTTCCCAGTCCAGGTTTTTATTTTTGACTTTATCACTAAAATACTCTTTAGCAAGTTACAAAGCTTCCATTTCTTCGTCCTTAAACAAGAGGAAGATGAATGTGAAATGCAATGTATTGCATGGTTTTCAGCTATCCCTTCAAGTTTTCCACATCTGCGCATGAGGCTGTTTCGTTTATTTATTTTGTCAGTTGTGAGCTATCCCTTCCAAGTTTTCCACTTCTGTGCATGCGACTGTTTTTGTTTATTTTGTCAGTGCCCACTGTCCCTGAGCTTTCTTGCTTAAGGCTAGCCCTCTACCACTTGAGCCACAGAGCCCCTTCTGGTTTTCTGGTGATTAATTTGAGATGAGTCTCAGGGACTTTCCTGCCTGAGCTGGCTTTGAACTGTGATCTCAGATCTCAGCCTCTTGAGTAGCTAGGATTATAGATATGAGCCACTAGCACCTGTCTTGAGATAGTTTAAATAAGCACTTAGAGCAATGTCTGGTATATAGCAAACTATATATAATGTTATTCATTATTAGGACTTAATGAGATATAAATGCATTTGATAATGGTATCTGTATTTTTCTTCCTTTTGGGACAGGATCCTGGTAGGTCTTTTGGGACAGGATCCTGGTAGGTAACCAAGGAAGGCCTCAAATTGGTGATCCTCTTGCCCAGCCTCTAGGTGCTGGGATTTGTAGGTGTGCACCCAACACCCAGCTTTGCTGTTAGTAACACTGCCATTTGATGTGCTCTGTCTACCTTTTCCAAACTTCCATTCATCTGGGTGCAGTTGCTCCTACTAGAAACCCAGCTATTCTGGTGAAGCAGATAGAGATGATCATGGTTTCAGACCAGAGGAGCCAAAAATGTGAGATCTCATCTCAGCAGACAAAGCTGGGCAGGGTGGCGCATGTGCCCTCATAGCTATGGCAGGAGTGTAATAGGATCCAGGTCCAGGCTGGCCCAGGCAAAAAGCATTGGTGTATATTAAAAATAACAAAAGCAGAAAGGGCTGTAGTCATGGCTCAATGTGGGGGAGCATTTGCCTAGGAAGTCCAAGCCCCTTCGTTCAAACCTCAGTACCACTGGGAAAGGAAGTCAGATTTCAGGGATTAGGAGTATAGTTCATTCTGTCTGAAGAACACACAACATCTCAATTTACATACTAATGCATGTTTCTGCCTTTCTGGAGATACTAGAAAGATGAACACTGGCTAAGTGACAGAAGCTGAGGGGAGAGGAGACTTCATGGCCAATGCAGTCACAATAATGCCTTTGGCTTAGCAGCCCTGCTGGCAGGCCCTTGGCACTCTGAAGCTGCCATCTGGAAATGCTTAGTAGTTGTATCTTTGGGTTTGTGTTGTTTTTTAAAATTGAATTCTGACAGGCCAGTTGGGTTTGTGTTGAGGTTTCACCTCCTGCTGCCCTTCCTGGGATGGGTTTGGTAGTTTCTAGTTCCCTGGGCCCTTCCTGGGATGGGTTTGGTAGTTTCTAGTTCCTTGGGCCCTTTTTTGCTTTTTTTTTTGTTCCAGTACTGGGGCTTGACCTCAGGGCCTCATGTTCTCACTTAATTTGCTTGCTTAAGGCTGGCACTGCAGCACTTGAGCTATCCCTCCACTTATAGCTTTTTACTCGTTAAATGAGAAATCTGAAAGTCATGGGCTTTTCTGCTCTGTCTGGCTTTGAACTTTGATCCTAAGATCTCAGTTTCTTGAGTTGCTTGGGTTACAGACATGACCTACCAATGCTTGGGTGGGTCATACTAATCTCTACATGATTTTTGGCTTGACTAAATTTAGGCTGTCTAGTAAAGTCCAAAACATACTTTTACAAGAGTCTTCAATGCTAAAATTGTATGGCAAGTTGCAAACCAGTAATTAAGTAGCAAAAATGACATGCTGGGGAAAATGATTTTATATTTGGTAAATTCTAAAAATAGTATCTTTTCTTAAGTAATAGTCATCTGCATGTTCAAAGCATCTTTGATTATTGATCAGAGAATGTTTTAGACTGACTAGATCTGTAATATCAATGGTACCATACCATGGGTTTAAATATTCTATGAATCATAAAAATATTGTTATTTCATTTGCATGAATTCTAAAGTAGATCCTGCTTCTGGAGAAGAAACGCTAGGACAGCAAGTTACAGGGTTTCCACAGGAATCTTTTTTTTTTTGTCGGACGTGGGTCCTGAACTCTGGGCATGAGCACTGTCCCTCAGCTCTTCAGCTCAAGGCTAGCACTCTACCACTTGAGCCACAGTGCCACTTCTGGCTTTTTTCTGCTTATGTGGTGCTCAGGAATCGAACTCAAGGCTTCATGCATGCAAGGCAAGTGCTCTACCACGGAGTTACCTTCCCAGCCCCATAGGAATCTTTTCTGTATAAAAATAGGATTCCTTATCTTTAATGTTCTCAGGGCATCTTCAGTGATGTCGTCTTTGCCTTCTTGTTCTGCTTTCCCAAGACTGGGTTGTTTTTATTTCTCTTCTGTACTTTCATATAATAATGTCACTTATGATGTTACATTTTTCAGGGTGACCATGGTTATAAGCAATCTAAAGACACTGAAGAGAGGCTCAAAGTTATCCCAAAATTTTGTTTTCCTGATTCAAAGGACTGGATGCCAACCTCAGAACTAAAGAGGTGAGAGGACCATGATTTTTTTTGGGGGGGGTCCGGTTGTGGGTTCTGAACTCTGGGCCTGGGTGCTGTCCCTCAGCTCTTCAGCTCAGGGCTAGCGCTCTACCACTTGAGCCATAGTGCCACTTGCGGCTTTTTTTTTCTTTTTGCTTATATGGTGCTGAGGAATCGAACTCAGGGCCTCAGGCTTGCAAGGCAAGTGCTCTACCACTGAGCCACCTTCCCAGCCCCGAGGACCATGGTTTTTGATGTCTAATATTGGAACTGCAAAAATAGAATCAGAAGGTAGCTCAGTGGTAGAGTGCTTGCCTTGCATGCATGAGGCCCTGGGTTTGATTCCTTAGCATCACATACACAGAAAAAGATGGAAGTGGTGCAGTGGCTCAAGTGGTAGAGCGCTAGCCTTGAGCTGAAATGCTGAGGGACAACGTCTAGGCCCAGAGTTCAGGCCCATGACCGAGAGGGGAAAATAAAAATAGAATCAGAGAATTTGAAAACTGAGCCAGGAACACAAACATTGCCAGAAGAAGGATTCCTAGAAGAAAGGGTTGTTTGGTTTTTGGTTTTTTTTTTGGTTGGTCATGGGGCTTGAGTCAGGGCCTGGGTGCTGTTCCTGAGCTTTTTCACTCAAGGCTAGCGCTCATTTCCACTTCAGGTTTTCTGGTGGTTAGAGGTAATCTCATGGATTGTCCTGTCTGGGCTGGCTTCAAACTACCAGTCTTAGATCTTCAGCCTCTTGAGTAGCTGGTATTACAGATGTGAGCCACTGGTGCCCGGCATACACTAATTTTTGATTGATTGTTCTGAGAAAAATGCCTTATACAGGGTTTTGGCCCCCACGGTTTTTTCCTTTCTAGTGAGACATTCTCCTTTGTCTTGACTGGTGAAGACGGAAGCCGGTGGTTTGGTTATTGTAAGAAGCTTTTGGTAAGTACCAGACTGCTATAGAGTTAGTCAATTAGGGAATTCAGAAACACTTCCTCTAGATAAGTGTAAGGGCTACTTAATTATTTGTGTATTAAAGAAGCTTTGTTACAAAGGTGCAATACCCAAGTGCCTCTTCAAGGACTTTTTTTCCCCGCCAGTCCTAGGGCTTGAACTCAGATCAGAGTCTTGGATTTGTCTACCTGGGTTGCTTCCAACCTTGATCCTCAGACCTCAGCCTCCTGAATAACTAGTGTTATAGGCATGAGCTTCTGGCACTCTCCTTTTTTTTTTTCTTTTCTTTTTTTTTCTATATTTGCTTGCAATAAAGAATGTAAGTACTGACACCACCTTCAAACTGGAAATGTCTGGAAATTGCCCTTGCTGGCAATAAACAGTCCTTACCTGTTGATGATCGAGTCCGGCCTATTCCTTTTCTGTTTCCCTCCATTTTCCTAACAGTGGGAAACAGATATGTGGATACAGGAGACAATCATTCCCAGGTCTACAATGGGTGTTCATGGCCATTTCTAGCTCTTTAGGTCTGATCCTTCTCTATTCTTACTTTGAGGTTACCTGAGGTAGCCTTAAAATAAATTCCCCTCATTCATGTCTAAGACAACTTAATCACTATTATTTATAACAAAGAAATATAGTGTCTGTTTTGTCCAACTTAAAATTCAAGAGAGGGACACTCAAAGAATATAATTGCTGACATAATGGCTTAATGTCAGTGGTACTTAAAAAATGGAATCCATTGAAGTTTGGAGTCACTCACCAACCAGCTTAGGCTGTTCATGTTCAGGTGCTTCCACCACACCTGGAATCATACTGGAATCATACATCATACAGTCGCTCAGCACTTCCCATCTCTCAGTGTTCACTGGGGATGAAACTATAGGGATCCTGCCTTATATTAAAGAAAATTAAAGGAAGCCAGGTATGGCAGTTCATGCCTGTATCCCTGTCTACTAGTAGAACAGGCCACTTAGAACAAGACAAGGTCTTGCTTGAGCCCAGAAGTCTGAAGCCAAGCTTAGTGACATAGCAAGACCTCCATCTGAAAAAAAAGTGCTAAATGATTCCCTCCCTCTCTCCTTCCCTCCTCCCCTTCCTTCTATAATGGAGCTTGGAGTCAGAACCTTGAGTTCTCACTTAGCTTGTTCACTCACAGCTGTCACTCTACCATCTGAGCCATACCTCCACTTCTGACTTTTTGCTAGTTAATTGGAGATAAGAGTCTCACAGACATTTCTGCCCCAACTGGCTTCAAACCCTGATGCTCAGATCTCAGCCTTCTTAGTAGCTACGATTATAGATGATAGCTACCAGCTTCTAGTGTAAGAGAGTCTCATTGGTCCAAATTAGTGAACATGTGATTTTTTTTTTTCTTCTAGCCAGAAGGCAAAGGAAAGCGACTTCCTGAGGTGTACTGCATAGTTAGTCGCTTAGGCTGCTTCAATCTGTTTTCAAAGGTGAGTGGAGATGGTTAGGAACATGACGCTCTTCTGAGCTCTGGGGGCTGTTCAGTATAATGACGCCATAGCAGTGTTAAGCAGCATAGTCTTTAACCTGTTGTGAATATTCATGGGCATTCCTGCTCAGGCTGGCTAGGAACCAAGATTCTCCGATCTCAGCCTCCTGAGTAGCTCTTTAATATGCTTTAGAAAGTTTCCCCATCTGTTATTAGGAACCAGACCTGACTTAGATCTCTAACACACCCACAGACGCTTGTAATTCTCACTCAGCTTGCTAAATCCCGGTGAGAAGAGCACAGCTGGAAGCTTACGTCTTCCGTAGATCCATGTTGTAGGATTTTGTCATCAGTGTCACTTTCTTTGCCCCTTTCTCTTTGAAAAACAAGTTGATTCATGTTAGTAGTTTTTCTTAGGGCCACGAAGATACTCCAAATGATTTGGTGCTTTAATCTCTCATGGGTTGTAGAAGCTTCTCTGTCTACATCCATTTTAGTTATTTTCATGTGTGAGCTCCCAGCCTTGCAGCTGCTGATTCTTCTGTTATTGAGTCCATAATCAAACACCACGCTGTGTATGAGCAGATCCTTGATGAAGTAGAGAAGAGAAGAGAAAGGTCTCCAGCCCTCGTGTACCCATTCATGCGAAGTGTAATGGAAGCTCCTTTCCCAGCCCCTGGACGCACCATCACGGTGAAGAGCTACCTGCCGGGGGCCGGAGATGGGGTGAGTTAGTAGACTTCCTACACACCGTTGAGCCTGCCCACGTGGCTCCCAGTTCCCAGGGGATGGCGCTGCTCTCTTCATAAGCCATGATGAACATTTCTAGGCCCATAAAGAATTGAAGAAACATCCAATCAATCTGAGCTTCAACCCATGACCCAAAGGCTTCCTGTCATATATCAGCTGGGCTCTCTGCAGTGACCATGTCTATGAGGTAGATTACAGTCATCCATATCACTATCAGAAGGGATGATTTCACCAGAAATAAGTGTGCGAGCTGGTGGGGTCATGGGATGATATAGGCAGTTTTGCAGAGTAGTAGCCTTCTTTTGGACTAAGCGAGCCCATTGGTGGTGTGATTAGGGACTTTTTTCCAACACCAGCACTCCTGATTCAGATTCTTTTTTTTTTTTTTTTGGTCTAGTTGTGGGACCTGAACTCTGGGCCTGGGTGCTGCCCTCAGCTCTTCAGCTCAAGGCTAGCGTTCTACCACTTGAGCTACAGTGCCACTTCCAGCTTTTTTCTTTTTTATGTGGTGCTGAGGAATCGAACCCAGGACCTCAGGCATGCAAGGCAAGTGCTCTACCACTGAGCCAACTTCCCAGCCCCTGATTCAGATTCTTGTATTTCAGTCCATTGAGCTCTGCCGACCACTAGATTCACGACTGGAACATGTGGATTTTGAATGCCTTTTTAAGTGCCTGAGTGTATGTCATCTCATCCGGGTCTGTGCCTCTCTCCTTCTGGAGCGGAGAGTAATCTTCGTTGCCAACAGCCTGAGGTAAGTAATAAGTGAAGCCAAGGGCCTGTAGCTAGGATTACAGAATCCTAGCTGCTCAGGAAGCTAAGATCTGAGGATTGTTATTTGAAGCCAGCCTGGGCAAGAGAATCCATGAGGTTCTTTTTCTTTTTCTTTTTTTGGTTCCGGTCGTGGGGCCTGAACTCTGGGCCTGGGTGCTGTCCCTCAGCTCTTCAGCTCACGGCTAGCGCTCTACCACTTGAGCCACAGCACCACTTCCGGCTTTTTTCTTTTTGCTTATGTGGTGCTGAGGAATCGAACCCAGGGCCTCGAGCATGCAAGGCAAGTGCTCTACCACTGAGCCACCTTCTCAGCCCCTGAGGTTCTTTTTCTTGGGTCTGGTTGTGGGGCCTGAACTCTGGGCCTGGGCGCTGTCCCTCAGCTCTTCAGCTCAAGGCTAGCACTCTACCACTTGAGCCACAGCGCCACTTCTGGCTTTTTTTCTTTTTGCTTATGTGGTACTGAGGAATCGAACCCAGGGCCTCATGCATGCAAGGCAAGTGCTCTACCACTGAGCTACCTTCCCAGCCCCTCCATGAGATTCTTATCCCCAATTAACCACCAAAAAGCCAGAACCAGAGCTCTGGCTCAAAGTGGTAGAGTACTAACCTTGAACCGCAGAAGTTCAGGGACAAGCACCTAGACTCTGAGTTCAAGCCCAGGCTAGCACACACAAACTCCCATATTGCTACCTAGATATAGTGGTTCATATCTGTAGTTCAAGCTCCTTGGAAGCTGAGGCTGGAGGGCCACTTGAGCAACAGAGTTTAAGGTCAATCGGAGCAATATAGTAAGGCTTCATCTCCCTTTTTGGTAGTACTGGGATTTGAACTTCCCTCACATGTCTAGGACTGTATTTGTCCACTTGAGCCATATCCCTAGCCCTTTTATGTCTTATTTTTCAAACAGATCTTAAGCTATTTACCCAAGCTGGCCTTGGCTTATAGTCTTCCTGCTCTGCTTCCTGTGTAGCTGTAAGTATAGCTACACGAGTACACAAACACTCCTGGCACTCAAGACCCCATCCCTTAAACAAACAAAAATTGCCAGGAGATGGTGGCTCATGCCTATATCCTAGCTACTCAGGAGGCTGAGATCTGAGAATTGCAGTTCAAAGCCAGCCCAGACAGGAAAGCCTGTGAGACTCTTATTTCCAATTAATCACAGAAAAATCAGAAATGGTGTCATAGCTCAAGTGGTAGAATGCCAGCCTTGAACAAAAAAGCTCAGGGATAGTCCTTAGGACCAGAGTTCAAGCCCCAGAACCAGCAATAATGATAATGATAATAATAATAATAACCTAATACTGCTTTTCTATGACAACAGTTTTTAGCTTGATAAATTATGGTGAAACACTCTATTGAAATTAAACAAATAAGTTAAATGTTTAAATAAAATGCTAACGTATGAGTTTTCTCTGGGTTGTATGAACATTGAGCATATCCATTTGGGACTGTTTCGGTACCATCTGAGATGCCTTGTTGCATTGCTGTATATGTGACACCCCACCCTTCACCTCTTCTCTGGCTAGCACCTTGTCAAAGTGTGGCCATGCGGTGGTAGCCACCCTGTACCCCTTCACCTGGCAGCATACTTACATCCCCGTCCTACCTGCCTCCATGATTGACATTGTGTGCTCGCCTACCCCCTTCCTCATCGGAATTCTGTCTTGCTCCTTACATCACCTTCAGGACCTGCCCATCGAAGAGGTAAGATGCCCCGAGTGAGCCCTTAGAGCAGCAACTGAGGGAAAAGAGCAGTTCTCCTACTCTTAGTGGTAGTGGTAGAATTGTTATTGAGTAATGTAATCTGGAGCTTGAACTCAGTGCCTGGGCTCTGTCCCTGAGCTTCTTTTGCTTAAGGCTAGCAGTCTACCATTTGAGCCACAGCACCACTTCTACCTCATTTTTTTTTTTTTGGTAATTTATTAGAGATAGAGAATCTCACAGACTTTCCTGCTTGGGCTGGCTTTGAACTGTGATCCTCAGGTCTCAGCCTCCTGAGTAGCTAGGATGACAGGCGTGAGCCACCAGCACCCAGCACTATTTTTAGTTGGGAATGATGGGATCCTCCTTGTGTTTTTCCAAAAAGTAGATTATCTTTCATTTCATTTTTTTGTTTGTTTTTGTTTTTTTGGGTCCGGTCATGGGGCCTGAACTCTGGGCCTACGCGCTGTCCCTCAGCTCTTCATTTCAAGGCTAGCACTTAAGCCACAGCACCACTTCCGGCTTTTTTCTTTTTGCTTATATGGTGCTGAGGAATCGAACCCAGGGCCTCATGCATGCAAGGCAAGCGTTCTACTACTGAGCTACCTTCCCAGTCCCATTCATTCGTTTTTTTATGCCAATTCTGGGGCTTGAACTCAGGCTGGCACATTCTAGCACTTGAATCATAAACATAGCTCCATTTCCAGCTTTTTGCTGGGTAATTGCAGGTAAAAGTCTCAGGAACTTTCCTGCCTGGGCTGGCTTAAAACTACAGTCCTCAGATCTTGGCCTCCTGGGTAGCTAGGGTTACCGGCACTCAGTGAAGTTTTCTTTTTTAAATCAAACTCAGAAATCACTCTGGGTTAACTTTAAACATTGTTTAAGATAAGATGCCCTTTGTGCTTTTAGGTTTATTTTTCAGATAGGATCTCACATTTTTTTTTCCAGAGATGGTCTTGGTCCTTCATCTTCCTGTCTATGCCTCTCAGCCTCGGGTTACAGATGTGTTTCTCCATTGCCTGGCTTATTGATTGAAATGGAGTCTCATTGACTTTTTATCTGTACTGACCTCAAACTAGGATTTTCCCAAATTGGCTTGCTTGAGAAGCTGGGATTCTAGACATGAGCCACCATGCTGACACCTTTTCACCTTTTCAGTGTGCAGGCATTCTTAATTTTAATATGGTTAAAATAGTTTTCTATATGGTATTTTTTGAGATCTTTTAAAAAATTTAATGAAGATATTTTTCCTATTTCATCTTTTTATTAGTTTTGCCTTTAACGTTTGGTTCTTACTCCACTTAGCTCTTTTTACATGGGGGGGTTATAGAATGTGAAATAGGATCAGTTTTTAAATGGATACCTTCCTGGAAAGACTCTTCCACCTACTCTAGCTCTGCTGCACTCATCTGTGAGCCTCTTAATCTCCAGGTGTACATCACATCATATTTTCAGTTTATTTGTATTGATGGGTCAACTTCTAAATGGGATATACTGTTGACTTTACATTGTTTAAAACCATTCCTATTGCCTGAAAGAAGGAAAACGCCCAAGCCACTGTGCAGTGTCCGTGTCTGTGACTGTCTCTGGTTGAACCAGCCTGGCTTCTTTGTTCCATAGGTGCTGATAGTTGATCTCTGTGCAGACAAGTTCTTACAGGAGGTGAGTGACAAAGGAGGTGATTATAGAATGTTTGGGGATGGAGATCTCTCTGTAGATAATGGAACAGAAAATAGGTGAAAGTACTTAAGAGACTATGACTCAAGAAAGACTTGGGTTCCTACCCATACATGAATGGTAGTCCAGCACTGACCTGAAAATTTGGCTGTGTTTTACAAGTCACTGTCCCAAACGAGAGGAAGGAGGAAACAGAACATGTCACTGTCAAAGAGCCATCCATCCTCCAGCTCTAGAAGGGCTGACGGATTAGCCTCTTATAACATTTTATTTTTTTGTCAGTCGTGGGGCTTGAACTCTGGGCCTGGGTGCTGTCCCTCAGCTCTTCAGCTCAAGGCGAGCGCTCTACCACTTGAGCTACAGCG